GCTCAGAATATTTATCATCTTTTTCTCTTAATTATCACATTTAAGGAGTCTACTAGATCTATCAGTAATGTAAATACTCTGAAGGTAGAAGTCAAACATCAAACATTCTTTTGGATGCCATCTCACTAAGAGTTAAAGTTTCTAGGAGTTATGGCATCCTCATGTATTGTTCTTGTTCATTCCAGGAGACTAGCCTAAAATATATCCACTATTTCTAGACATCTTGTGTTGTACTGACAAGACATGTACAATCCATCCACTTAGAAAAAGTATTAATTTTTATTGTAGAATAACTAGGGCAATAATACATTGGTGGATATTTTATGTAAATAACTAGCCTGTATAGGAAAAAATCTATTTTAATAATCTTTCTGACAATTGTCCAGATATAGTCTTAATTTCTAGACCAGCATAATTGGCTGGTTTAGGTTTCTCACATGCTGTCTTTATCTCAAAAGATACTTCCAGGCAGCCCATTTTCCATTGGACTGATATATAGGTATAACTTTCCAGTCCACACTACAATGTACATTAAAAATTAACCTGAGAAATGGGTCAATAGAAGTCTCTTTATAATATTTACTGACCTGATAAGCCCATGAAGCTACATGGCTATAAACTCTGTAGCTGGAAATTTACCTTCCTGTGCCAGGTTTCTCAGTCATCTTCATGATGACTGGCTTAAACTCTCCTTTGAAATCTGATTTAATTTACTGAATCATGTTCAGTCACAATAAGACTCTCAATATTATAATTTAAGAAAAGAAAAAAATTTTTAAATATTTTATAAGATCTAATGGGTGTCTCTGGGGTCCTATTTTCCCCCTTTTCTTTATTTAATAAAATTGAGTAAAGGTTGGTGTCAGCCATAGTATCATCATTTTAAGTTACAGATAATGGTACAAGTATTTAAATGATAAAAATAGATTTATCTTTTATTGATTATTGTAATTTTTTTAATATAGACTAGTTGATTCATCCTAACAATTTAGAAATACCCCTCAATCTCTCTTTGAGAGAAGGTCTCAAAATATCTCTATATTTTAGAATAGTATCCTTTAAATAGGTGTCTCTTAATCGTCTTTTAGAAAATGTGATTAAGGTTACTTCTCAATATAGAGAGTAATATATAAATATTACCATAGTTTTTGTGGATAATAGGTCCAGTCAGGGAACTTATATATATCAATAAAATTTTAACAAGGTTTGCAACCTTTATTGCTCAAAACTAACACACAACTTTAATTTGGAGAACCTCAGTTCTAATAAAATGTTCTTCCAAATCTCATAATTATCCAACAAACAAAATATGTAAGAATCAACAGTGTCTTTGAATCAATCAAATTTAGACTCCAAAGAGAATTGTCAAAATTAGGATCTAAGTCAGCAGTTTAATATATTTAGTGTTTAATTAAGGATGTGAATGTATTCATCAAAATTAATCCTTGCCTTAAACGGTAAGAATCATTAGGCAATAAAGACCTTCCTTACAGGAAACAAACTTAATGTTTTAATAGGTCTTTATCATGTCAAAATATGGGCAAATCTTAGCTCATCTCAGCATAGTAAAATCAGGGAAATGGCCTGAAATATCCTTACAATCAGTCCAGTACATATAAATCTTTTTCTTAATTCTTTTAACTTTCTAAATCATCATCTAGATAATGATATAAAGATTTTTTTATTTAGGAAAATACTTTTATCATTAAAATCTAGAATATAGGGCTGGGGATGTGGCTCAAGCGGTAGCGCGCTCGCCTGGCATGCGTGCGGCCCGGGTTCGATCCTCAGCACCACATACAAACAAAGATGTTGTGTCCGCGCCGAAAACTAAAAAATAAATATTACAATTATAAAAAAAAAAAAAAAAATAGAATATAAAGACCTTGTTTAACCCAAAGATGATTTTTTTTCTTTTTACCCAAAGATTATTATTATTTTTTCTTTTTCTTAGGACCGCCAATGTGTGCTTCCTCTTTGTTGAACATTGTCTTTTTCTTTTAGAATTTTTCCTGTTTATATTGTGGAATGATTTTTGAAAACCTTAGAATCTAAATAAATTTGTGTACTTTGATAAGAAGAAATATCAATGAAAATATAGTTAAGGTCCTTGGATATTATTATAGACAGAATTATACTTGTTTATCATCTTATCAAAGTTTGTGCAGGGGCTGGGATTGTGGCTTAGTGGTAGAGCGCTTGCCTAGCATGTTCGAGGCTCTGGGTTTGATCCTCAGCACTACATAAAAATAAAATAAAGATATTGTGTCCAACTACAACTAATAATAAATATTTTTTAAAAGTTTGTGCAATAACTTTGAGAATTAGAAATTACTTGAAAATTGTATTCTCTCTTGAAAGCAAATTTATAGTAAAATACATTTATCTCAAATATCTGTAAATAAAAGGCAGAGCATCAGACAAATGCATGTATAAAATGTACAAATTATGGGTTTTCTATCGAAGAAAAACAATTAGATAAATATACATTAATTAAACAATCAGACATGTTAGATGAATAACTATAGGTTATCTAGGAAAATACATACTAAGAATAAGGGCATAACTTATCATTGTATTAACTTCATGTAACCAAGTGGTTCTTAGATATTTGGATCCATTTCAATTTAATTTTAACTAGAAGTGCATTCTTATATGTGACATCATGTAATGTAGATGAAATAAGATCTTTGTGTATACATTTATTTATTTTTTGTAATTATATAGTCAGGAATGAGAATAAGGATTTTTTGGTCATCCCAGGAACATTGCCAGCTTTTGTTCCTGTGGAATGTAAATGCATCCCCATAACCTCCAAAATTAAAAGCAAAATATAAAGAAGCATGTTTGATATCTCTCATCAATAGAACATTATTTAGTAACACAACCATAGAGAAAAGTCAGGTTATTTAACTCAAAAATAACTTAAAGTTAGGGCTGCAACGTAGAAACCTTTGGAATAGATTTTGCCTGAAAAAGATATCTTTCGTTAGCATTTACAGGTGGGCATTTTTAAAAATGCAGGCTCTGGGTAGCTCCCAGTAGCAGGTCTGAAACAGGAAGTACAGGTTAGTGGCTGGAAGGCGGGAGCAGAAGTCCTGAGTGACAGTGGAAGAACCAATGGGAAGCCCATGAAAATGCGGAAGATGGGACCAGGAAGCCTGCTCCTCCAGAGGGGCGGCAGGCGGTTACCATGGTGACAGAAACAGCATGGAGCCCTTGCCCATTGTCCAGGGCAAAGGGACCCTGAGTTTCCTTAGCTGAAATGCCAGATTCGTGGGACCCCAATAGACCTCCAGGAGCCAAATCCAATGCAATCACACAAGAGTCTTTATTGCAAGCTCGAGCCTGGACTCACAACCGTTTCTGACACAGCAGTCCTGAGGAGTGAGTCCTGGTCCTTTGTTCAGCGAGATTTTATAGGTTTTTGGAGATACCCTATGTGTCACAACATCACACAGCAAATCATTTCACACTGCGGGAAAATCAAACAACAGCTCTTAACATTGATTAGCACATTCACTGGCAGGAACAAGTTGGGTAGGGGTGATTGGTTGAGAGGGATTCATTTGAACTGATTGGTTTAATCTGTGTTGGGTGTACATGCTAAACTATATGGTTTCCTAACATGTTATCAACCACCAAGACTACTGGAGGGGTCATCTGGCATCCCAGGTATTTTTCCTGTCTCATGCTAATTGGTGGTTGCTAGGGGGTGTCAGGGACACCTGGCATGGCAGATCTCTCCAGTTATTTATAGACAAACAACTCAGCAGGGTGGCTGTGTACCTAGGAGTGCTCTGTGGGTTTTTCCAAGGACAAGGGTCAGGCCCCCTCCCTTTGGACAGGCCTTGAGGTAGAAGCTGGGTTTTCAAAAACCCAAACTGGAATATGATCCTTTCCTTGAAGTGCCCTCCTCTTCTTCCAGGCCTGAGGACTGCCAGGGGTGAGCTGGACTCCAGGTGAGCAGTGTGATGGACTTCCAGATGCTGAACTCCAAGGAGTGTTGGCCAAGCCCTGTGCTGGCTGCCTATTGATTCTGCAGACCCTCCAGCAAGGTACACTCCGGGGTACAGTTTCAGTTAAAGAGCACCCCCCAGAAAAAAAAGGTCTACTTGTTTTTAACATATAACATTTGAGACTTTAGAAAAAGTGAAACAAGCCAATATTTTTTAATTCCCAAGAGCACAAAAGACTAAGGAGAGAAAACAAGTCTCCTGGCCACAAACACTGGTCTCAAGAGGCATCCACCATTGACAAGTGCCAACGTGAGGCGATATTCTAATAATGGCCTCTCTGTGCCTGTTCTTCCTTCTGGACAGCGGGGATAATGACACATTATGAGGTGCTTGAGGGCCAGGTGAGCGGATCTTTGCAAACAGGGAGGTCGTAACTTACAGCCTTCCCTCCCACTTTACAGACTTGTCACTACCTGCTTCCAGGAGATGGTGCCTGCTTTACAAACCGGCCTAATTCCTCCCAAACGCTGCAGAGCATGCTGGTGCCTGAGAGGCTTCTTATGCAATTGGTCCCCGTGGGGCAGGAGGGTTACTTCTGTCTCTGGAACCCACCAGCACTTGCCACAACAGGCATGAGCTAAAGGTGGCGCGAGAGGGGAGAGGGTGCGTTTAGACTTTGAATAAACCTTCCTCATCACCTCCAGAGGATTTCCACCCAACACCCCCAGCCACTGCGGAGAGGTTTCTGGCCTCACCCTGAAGGGCCTGGATTCCTCACCTACAAACAACCGCGATCACGGTTGCATAATTAGAATCGCAACTTGGCAAAGAGAAAGAAAAGTTGCCCTCTGCCAGAGCAAGACAACCAGCAGGCGGCAAGGTGGTTTTAATATAGAACATACAGATTTTAAAAACAGAGTGCCCTTTCTTTTTACATGGTGGATGCTATGTTCACGATGCGTATGTTATATAATCGTGACACTAGGAAATACAGCCCCACAGCACTCCTGGCTGCACACACAGCGGTCCTTTGCACCGGAAGGTGAGGGAGCAGGGGTGCCAAGGAGCTTCTCCTTGTCCGATGGCACCCTCTCCATCACCTCCCGAGTCCTACTGCTCCCGTTTTACCGATGAGGAAACTGAGGCAAGGTCAGGTGGCCTGTCAGAAACCTCACGGGGCTGGCAGAGGGATTCCATCACAACTGTGCCTGAGTCTGGACGTCCGGGGGACACGGGATCAGCGCACACCGCCCCACTCCACCCGGCTCCAGCACCCACCGCCCCGCCCCGCGTCCGCAGCCCCAGCCCCGCGAGTCCCTGCCCCGGAGGCGTTCCACCGCCCCCCAGGAAGCCCTGAGCCCCTGAAGGCGGCTGGGCAGTTCCTGGGGACCGGGCGGGTGGACCGCGCCAGCTAGGGAGACGCCGGCAGGACGAGGAGCGGCTCGGCCCGGGGTGGCCACACAGGCTGGGCTAACCCGAGGGGCCTGTTGGGGCAACCTCCCACTAGGGCCACACGGGCATCCCACAGTCCAGCTTCGCAGCTGCTGCCCTCCAGCTGGACACCTGGACTCGCCTGAGGTAAGGGGCAGGCCTGCACCCTCAGGATTTGTTCCCTCATCTGCCTGGGGGGCTAAACTCCAAGGGACCTGCGAACCACAGACGCAAAAGTGAAGCTGGGTTCCGAGAGAACAAGGCCATCTGTGAGCTGGAACTCTGGCTGGGGGAAGGAGACAGTGGGGATCCACAAGGACATGGGTTAGTTTGTTTGCAACCTGGCAAATCGTCCTGCAATTCAGCAATTCCAGTGACCCTTGCACTCAGCCTGCCCTCAGGGCAGTGGGGCTGTTCACCCTCAGAACAGAAGTCTCAGAAGTGCAGATGCAGGGCTGGGGACCGAGTGCACAGGCCTTCAGGAGCTCACCCTGCCCCTCCTGTGATCCAGGGCACTGGCATGGAGCCTGAGAACAGCCCCCTGACCACACACGTGCTCGATACTGCGTCAGGGCTCCCAGCCCGCGGCCTGCGCCTCCACTTGTCTCGGCTTGAGGACCTCAGCCAGCAGTGGACAGAACTGAAGAAAAGGTATGAGACAGGCCCTGGGGCTGGGTGGAAATCCAGAGCTCCTGCTCCCCCAGCACCAGCCCTTGCTGAGTCCCACCCAGCCAAGGAGTGCAGACACTAGGGGCTGGAAGACAGAGCTGACTGCTGCCCACTGGCACCCACCAGCCCCTCAGCCTTGGAGGCACACAGGTTCCCAGCCTGGACCCTCCCTACTGACTCTGAGCCTCAGTTCCTCATGTGGGAACAGGGCCATCCTAGCAGGTGTGAGTGTCCTGGGACTCAAGTTTGCTGAGGCCTGCTGGGGTGGGAGCAGTATGTCTCTCCACCAAGTCCATGGCCTGAGGTAGCATACCACTTACTTTCTGCTCTTTTTATTCTCCATACCTCCTCTGGACAGGAACCATAATACCCTTTTACAGATGGGAAGACAGAGGCAGGATGAGGTAAAAGGCTTCCAAGCTAGGCCTGTGATCCTCAGCCTGGACTACACACACACTCTGCTGGGTGGGGGCATGGGGGCTTCCAGTCCCAGGTGCTGCAAACCCAGTTTGGCAGAGTTGTGGCCCTGGAGCTGGCCCTGTGAGCAGGTTCATCCCCATGACCCTCCATCTTGAGGAAGGCAGGCATGTCTTGTGGCAGGATGGGGAGCCAGGGAAGGTAGACCCAAAGGTTCAGGGTCTAGGGTGTGGTTATTGCTTCCCTGCTAAGCTCTTCACAGAAGCTGGGCGTGAGGCACCCAGGCCCACTGAGTGAGCACAGTGCTGCCCTGGCCAGGAGCCACTGCAGGGTTAGAGGGAACCATGCACGCCATACATGCAGTTCCCTTCCCAAATGCTGTGGGACACTCTTTAGGTCCAGCTGGTATGAAGAATGTGGGGGCATTAGAGGTGATAAGGCAAAACTGCAGGCCTTCAAAACACTCCATGAGGGATCAGCCCACTCAACATGGACCTTCCATCCAGCTGGAAACAGGCCACCACATAGATGTATTGTTATTGACCCAGAAAGCCATGATCAGTAAATTATATTAAAAACACAGAAAACCTCATGAATCATAATCTATGGTGCATTTTTTAAAAAAACAAAACAAACAAAACTTGTAAACAAACATAAACATAGAAAAAAATCTAGAAAAATATGTCAAATACAAAGTGGTAGACTATGGAAGAATTTTTCCCTTTTTGCTTCTGTGTTGATTTTCTAAATAGGCAGTGTAGCAGTGTCCCTACAATTGCCCCACTACCTGCTCAGCCACGTCTGACCCGTGGGGGTCAGACCCAGGAAGGCCGAGGGAAGCTGGCTCTGCATCTGATCTCAGCAGCCCATCCTCTCCCCAGCTACACAGACCTGGACGGCCGCTGCCCTGGGCTCCTGAGGCCAGGCCAGATGAAGCCTGGCACCTATAAGCTGTCCTTCGAAACCCAGGGCTACTGGAAGGAGAGGGGGCAGGAGAGCTTCTATCCATACATAGAGGTGAGTGCCATGGGGGATGGAGAGGGTGGAGACCCTGACTCACTGACCTGCAGGCCAGGTCTTCGGCCAGGCCTCAAGGACAGACTGGTCCCACCTCTCTCAGGGAGGTGGCAGGCACCTGAGCTTGCCTGCTTTGACCTGGGGCGTCATGAGACTCCGTGTTGACATGCCCATCCGTGAGCTGTCCCAGTCAGGCTTGGGGGAGGCAGGCTGGGGGTGACTCATCTCCTCTTCATAGACAGGTTTTCATCTGCCCCACTCCAACTCCTGGCCTTCTCTGACTGCTCCCCCCTCTCTCCGATCATCTGGCCTTTGCCACATCCAGCATGCCCAGAGGAGGATTTCTGCCCATCCTCAGCCCTCAGGGAGGTTGCAGTCCACCACTGGGCTCCAGCTGACCCTGCCCCACCATTCGGGCTGCTTTCCCAGGGAGTCATGGGGTCAGGTGGCTCCCGGGTTGTGGTCCCTCACTGTCTTCTGGTGCTTTCTCTGCTTCTCTCAGGTTGTCTTCACCATCACAAAGGAGACCCAGAAGTTCCATGTGCCTCTGCTGCTGAGCCCGTGGTCCTACACCACCTACAGAGGGAGCTAGAGCCCAGCCTGGCTGGAGGAGCTATTTACCTATCCTTGCTCTGGCTAGGCTGCCTGCCCAGCCACACTCAGTGGTCACCCACTTCCTTGGGGAGGTTCTGGCCCCCCTCTGGAGTTTCTCAGTGGGCAGCTGTGACTTGGGTCAATAAAATCAGTGCTACATCTGCAGAGCTACTTCCAGTGGGCAGCTATGACTCACTCAGGTCTCTCATGACAGCGCTGCATCTGCAGAACTGCTCCCATCTTTGGGACAGGAGCAATTTATGGGTGGCTAGATCTCTGCCACCTTGGCCCCCAGGTGAACAAGGGGGCTGTCAGAGAAAGTGCTGCTGAAGTTGGAGGACTCAGGTGTGGTGTGGCACAAGCTGGACGTGCCCCAGGGAAGGAGATTCTCCTGCAGGTGGTTCTCCCCTACAGAGCCCAGCAAGAGAACACAAAGGAAATGTGGAAAAATTTTCATTCATTGATGATAATCTAAAATTTAAAAACTTACTGCCTGGAAAGAGGGAGTCACCTAGGGAGTGTCCCTAATCAGTTCTGTGGGCTGCAGCCCCAAGCATGTAGCTAGGTTGGGGTACCCACAAGTCCTGCAGGGCCCTGACCCAGCGTCTGCCCAATCACCGCTGTCTCCAGAGGCTTGAAGCCCACATCGTCCAGAGGGATTCCAAAGGCCAGCAGCTTTGCCTCGTATGTGCGCAGGAGGTCATTATGAGCCTGTGGGAACAAGGCAGTGTCAGGGAGGAACAAGGAGTTGGCCCACCCAGAGCTGAGCCCTACTCCATAGAGGGCAGGGCCAGCATGTTGTGAGGAGGGACAGAGCAAGCATCGGTCAGTGGTCACTTTAGGCCAGCCCCGTGCTAACACAGCTGCATGTGTTGACTGGGGCTTACCACACGAAGGTGTGCTGAGGCAAAGGGAGGCACTCAGGACAACTGTGGCCTGAGTGTGCCCCCCGGCTCCTCAGCAAGCATGTCTCAGCGAGGGCCACTGTTCCCTCCTACCCTTGTCAATGGCCTCTATTCCCTGCTCCCATGGGCACAGCACCCTGCATCTTCACCAGGGGCAGGGCCTGCCTGGAGAAGAGTCCTGGTCACCCCTGATCTGTCCCAAGAGACAAGGCCTGGGAGACAGTGCTGGTGGGCCTAACACAGCTACCATGCCAGAGGTCCCTGCTTCCAACTGTAGAAAATGCACATTTTTAGAAGGGTTCATATTTCACTGGGTGGTTGTAAAAGCTCAATGAATTGATGTGTGTGAAATGCTTCAGGCCTGGCCTGACTCCGCAAATGCTCAAAAGGGTAGCTGTCCTCAGTATGGCTCAAAAATGACTCCAGTGTGGGCAAAGACAGGCTCTAGAGAGAACTGGGGTGTAGACCCTTGAGGTTCACAGCAAATGGCCCTAGCTCTGCACAAATACCAGCATGTGCATAAAAAGCAGGCAAGGGGCTGGAAGGGTCAGGAAGCCAGGATCATGTGGGTGCCATGGAACCTGGGAACTGTGGGGGACAGTGCCTGCACCCAGGGGTCTTAAAGAAACAGGATGACAGAAACATCTGGACATGTCCCCAAACAACAGAACCAAGAAGTGATATCCATCCCTCAGAGTTAAGGGTGTAACTGAGTTGCACTGGTGGGGCAGCTGCTCTTGATGAATTCCTCTGCAGACAGAGCAGTCAGCTCAGTCCTAGGCAGGTACAGATGACCTCGTGCTGTGTCTGCCCCTCACATGGGGATGGTCCACCAGCCTCATCAAATGACATGTGAATGGGAAATGGATGGGTCCTCAGAGATGGTCAGCAGTCACACTGTCTACAGGCTGAAGCCAGATGCCAGGTCATAGCCAAGGGAGGAGGCAGGGAGGCAGGTGCATACCTTACAGACTCGGGCCAACTCATACTGCAGGTCCTTGATGGTACTATTCTTTGACTCCAGAACATCCTGAGGACAGAGGCAGAGGTGAATTTGGGACAGGTCTTTTGGCCAAGGTGAAGGAGGTGGATGATGGTCTGGGAGCTCCCTTGGGGGTCCCAAGAAGCTCAGGGAATAAAGTCCTGGCTCAATATATGTATGCATCTAGACAAGGGTATGTCGGCAGAAGAAGGTCCCCAAGGGTTGAGAGAAAACAGAATGGGAGGAAGGGGAGAACCGGAGTATGTCCCAGTGCCATCCACACCCCATGGAGAAACTGTCTTGATGGTAAGTAATAAACATGGGTTACCAGGGACAGCAAAGATCTTACTTTGCAACAGCCTGGCACTAAACAAAAAAACTTACACTTTTAAACTTCTTGAATCACGTGGCATTATTATCCAATTTTTAAACAGAAAGAGTAGCCTGTGTAACTTTCAAAACCTTAAGTGTTGAACCAAAAGTAATGGGCCCAGATCTGCAGGGCCCAAGCCCCTTGGGATGCTCCCACCTGAGGAGTGCTGTAAGGTGCCAGACTAAGAGCTGGACCTAGCCTGCCTCCAGAGAAGCTCCCCAAACCCTCTCTCGCCTCTCTTGAGAGAGATCCTATGGGCACTGCTGTCACTTCACTGCAAGGCTACTTGCCTATAAATTGGGATAAGAATAATCAGGGAAAACAAGAGCTAACCCACATTTAGTACCAACTGTAACCCACAGTTAGTTAGTATTCACCTGATTGTGGTGGACAGGACTGATTCTTTTTTTTTTTTTTTAAATAGTTTTTTTTTTAATATTGATTTTTCAGTTATCGGCAGACACAACATCTTTGTTTGTATGTGGTGCTGAGGATCGAACCCGGGCCACACGCATGCCAGGCGAGCGCGCTACCACTTGAGCCACATCCCCAGCCCCAGGACTGATTCTTATCATTGCCATCTCAGGCTTACCAGTCCACAGAGGTGGAACTGTCCCTCTTCCGTGACCAAACAGCAGGACTTCACTTCTCACACCTACCCATGTTGCAGGTGAGCCTCCAAACCCAGAGACAGGTTATCGCCAGTCCCAACATGGCCCCTCCCCTCCTGTGTTGCTACACCACCCCAGGCCCAAGATCCGGCCTATCCCAGTAACCTGGTCCCACAGGTACAACCAGGGCCCTGCTGCTCTCCTGTAAACACTCGGTCTCCCTGTCCAGAAACATAGCCTGTCACCTTGGACCCTCCCAGCCCCTCCGAAATCAGGGATAAGTCCTGTGGAGCTGGTCTTTAGTAGCTCTTGGATCTCAGTTCCTTGTCTTGCACTGACATTATCTGCTATCTCTGGCCATGCATTCCCCATGTGAGGCAGAGGGGGCTCTCTGTGATCAGGCCTCTGTGCCCAGAACAGAGTTGTGGTTCCTGACCAGCCCTACACTCCAGGGTACAGCTGACAGCCTGCAGTTGCCGTTAGTCCTGGGTTTCCAACAAACCCTGGGTTTTCTGGGTTTCCTGCTCCCTAGGCAGCTTGGGGTGCTCAGTGTGAGACCTAGTACTGCATGCAGCCTCAGGTCAGGATGTGGAGGGGGACGGGCAGTGAAGCAAATCAGGACGGAGTGTCATAAATAGAGATGAGGTACCTAGACACAAAGCTAATTCTTTGGGCCTAGAGTTTTAAACTGTGATGAGCCATCGTAGAAGAGCTGCCTGTAGTACAGGCGCATGGGTGCTGAGCATGGCTTTTCCACTCCCAGGCTGTCCCCAGGCTGACCCCAGGCCTGTCTCTGAGTCCACTGTCAAGTGACTGAGGGACTCAGTCCTGCAGATTCCCAGAGCAGCTTTTCTGTTTCTAGAATATCCTCAGTTCTACTTGGTGCATCATGATGAGCCACAGGAGAACTAGAATGGCAAGGCTCAGAAGTTATGAGGTGCTATGAGGTTAAGGAGGGTCAAGCAAGACCCAACAGCAACACAAGCAAAACCCCTCAAAGCAAACTGCAGGCCCATGCAGGCCTGAGGCACAGACGCCTGCAGGAAACCCGCCCCCCGTGGGTAATTGAGGTCGCCCCCTGGTTCAGGAGGCACAGCGCAGGACCAAAGGGTCCCACCACAGGAGACTAGGCTGCCCACTGTAGGTAAGAGTTGGGGCAGCCACCAGCCCTGCCCCCGGAGGCCTACCTCAAGTTTGCGGGACACGAGTGTCAATGCTGCAGGGTCCAGGTTGGAGGCCGCCAGCACCTCATTGAACTGCACCTCCCTCTTCTCCATGGCAGTATTCAGTGTCTGCAGCTTGCGTTCCAGCACCAGGTTCTTGAAGCCTATCTTCTGCTGCACCTCCTGGATGGCTGCAGTGAACTTCCGGTAGAGCTCATCCCGCTCTTGCTGTACCTGCAAGAAGGAGACTGGGGTGAGCGACAAAGTCCCCCACTGGGACATCTCACTGGGGAGAAGCCACCTCCTACCCTGCCCCTTTGTGGAGCACACTGTTACTACAAAAGGTCACTTACACTGGTGACCACACCTAGAATACATGGTCTATGTGCCATCCACTGCCTAAAACCCCATCTTCTGTGCAGAGTTAAAGGTATGCAACTATCTACACAGAGGAATGCAAGAGAGAAATAGCAGCATGAACCCCCTCAAGAAGCAATGGGGCTGGGCACAGTGGTGCACACCTGTAACCAGAGGCTGAGGCAGGAGGTTCACAAATTTGAGGCCAGCCTCAGCAGCTTAACAGGACTCTGTCTCAAAATATAAAAAGTGTTAGGGATGTGCCTCAGTGGTAGAGCACCCTGCGTTCAATCCCTAGGACTGCAAAAAAAAAAAAAAAAAAAAAAAAGGAGTCAAAAAGGGGAAGGAGGGGGAAGGGAGGAGAGGAAGGAGGAGGAGGCAGAAGCAGCAGCAGTAGTGGGGTGTGCTAAGAGCAGGAATAGCCCCACCCTGAAACCTGCTCCATGGGTGGGTCAGGCCCAGCTTTGCCTGAGTTAGGGCTGTGGGCTCAGAGGAGATGTACCCCTGATTGCCCCCATGTGACAGCCTGTCCATCTGCAAGCAGGCAATATTTGCGGGAGAGCCCTTGGAGTTTCCTACAGATTGACATATTGATTCCTTGCCATCAATATGTCCTACAAGGCAGGTCTAAAGCAAGCCTTGCAGCAGCAGTCTGTCAACCAATAAGTAAAAATGTCTCTTCTCCCCTACTTTTTCTTCTTTTTTTTTTTTTTTTTGGTACCAGGAATTGAACCTAAGGTTACTTAACCACTGAGCCACTGAGCCAGCACTTTTTTTTTT